GTCCAATTTTCTTGAACTTTTATATGCATTATGCACAACTTGGGACGGTCACATATTTGGGGGCAGATTGACACACATAAGGAGTGACAAGTTTATTTAAAATTTTGATGAATTTTTAATATATCATGAAACGAGTTTTGTCATAGTTCAGAGTTATATAGTTGGCAATGCCAATCAGCCATCCCTGGTATTATTATCAGTCGGAAGCACAATGCCGGGTTCAGTTGTTGGATTTTATATTCTTGTCTAATGTAGAACCTCTGTGTGATTATCCTCTTGCAAATTGTCAATGTCCAAATGTGGTCGATGAGGGAAAGGACTCCATTGCAATTAATCCCAAAGAAGTCGGAATACTTGTTGTAGATAGAATACGTACAATAAATGCTCCTCCAAAACCGGACGGAGATGAGGCTGATGATAAAATGGCCACTTACAAATAAATGGTTCGATGTAGTGAAAAATGCCGACGTATCTGAATCATTCTATTGCCAAATTTGATGTAAAAGTTCCGTTACATTTTTAATGCGAGATGTAATGAATTTGATTTATTGAATTATTAAGTATATAACTACGGAAGAACCTGTAGCATTAATGATGATAACCGAGCAGTAACACTAATAACAATAAGGTGTATGTGGGGCTATATGCATATGACCTCTGCGAGTATATAATTGCTTAATTTATAAATATTTTATTGTTTGCTTTTAGCACATATACTTTTTAATAATATGCCGCTATATTGAAGCTATTAATTTTGAATGCATAATATGCAGGTTGATATCTAATTTGGCAGGTGCATGGTCGAGGATGCTTGTCGTATATACATACACATTATTTGCAGTCCATTTTCCGTCATATGTCGTCATATACCTCTAGATGCATCATATCATATGGCAAAACATAGCTAAAATGCATTGGAATTATGTAACAGGACCGCGGAATGCTCGTCATTTTTGCAAAGTTTGCTTGTCATTAATTTAAAAAAAACGTCTATGGAAGCTTTCAACTTTATTTTTATTTTCTCTACAAATTACCAACCCACATCGGGCAAGACTTTGTAGCAGCTAATAGTTCGGGCGTGAATACCGTACAATAGCATCATATCATAACTTCATTGTTGATACATTCTGCATCTCAATTTCCAAATTATACACTATCCACGAAATAAAATATATGTCCAGTTCCACCCTAAAGACAAATGATTGCAAAAAATGAGTTGCTCAACTCTATGTAATGGATGGGATGGATGTTCGGTCTGGTTTAGCCACACCAAAACTGTGCATGACCTTCAAATTTTGAAGGAGCAGATCTTTGCTGATACGCCTTTTCGTAATGAAGATGAACGTTTCCAGACTTTTTCGTATTAATTACTGCTATTAAAAGTACTTTTAATTTTTCTTAAACACATGCAACTCGCGTATCATTAAACAAAATTTATGTCTTGCAAAAATTGGTATGGAAAGTTGTTTTTCATCGCAATAATAATAAATTGCCCGCTCACTGAGATTCTACAAGCTAGTCGTGTTATGTATGCTCATCATAAGAATGGTACAAACATTTGGTAGACTGTTTGGACGTGAACTTGAAGCAGATAGCAATCTGTCCATCTAATTCAGTGCCATTACCCTGCATTAGTATAATGATGATGATAATGCTGAAACAATGCAGAATATAAAGAGGGAGAAGAATTGGATTGGATGCATTCATGGTTGAAAGGGGAGTTGTAATATTTTAAGCTAATTGTTTGGCTGTCCAGAATGCCAAGTTTAAGATTGTATTTGTTTGTCAGAAAAGACTTTGCATGTAAATTGGCAAATCCTTGGTGGCAAAGGGGCAGGTTTCTCGTTTGTCCCGGAGGGGAATTAAATAAATAAAATTAAATGGAATTACTTGCAACTTGGAAAACTCATCCGAGCCAAGCCTACTTCTTCTCTCCCTCTTCTTGCTGATCAGGTCGGTCTACTTTTGTTCGATGGAATTGACCAGATTACTTCATTAATGTGTATTTATGAAGATAATTTATATGCCCATAACAGCAGCCCTGTGGTTTCTGCATTGTCCCGTTTTTTGAAACACAATTGTTAAATCCAGCCAATGCAATATTTTAAATTTGTTCCTAGAGGAAATAATAGAGCTACTTGAGTAGTAGTACATAATGTTTTGCAATTATTTTGGTAACGAAGCACTTTACTTGCAAATTGTCAATATTTCATGCAACAACAAAAATTAATCGCCTTGAGTGTGATGCCGTAACTTAATTTATCCTTGATCACATATTTCCAACAAAGGATTCACAAATGCTGAAAAATATTTGATTGAGAGATCTCAAAGATTTAAGACTTAATCTGGAGACGGTTCATAAGTACACGCAATGAATAAAAGACCGGTTAAGGATAAAGGTTGTCTCCCGGTCACAATAAGAAATTACCAACCCTCCCACTTAACTCCAATTATCGTTATCCAGCCCATGCCCATTTTTCATATTTATTTGCTAAGATCTAGCCCATACATCGTGTTGTAGGCGAACGTTACAGCTAAAAAATGTTTGGTTGCAATTTGCTTTGAATGGAGAAGGAAACCTGCATGCATTCAGGTGGCAAAAGAAAGTAAAATCAAGTTCAAGTTTATGGCTGATGTATGATCAAACCAACGTAAGTAAAGCTAAGAAGGTATTTATCTTCAGTTCTGTCGTATCTCTTGGAGAAATAATGGGACCTCAGCAGTGCACCAACCACAACTCTTGTGCAACCTGCAGGACACCGGAAAGCTCCAAGTTGTTGTTTTTTCACGAGGATTTTCGGCGATGTGTGTATGTAACCCTTTCTGGTAAAGGATAACGGATGGGATTAAGCGAAATTGCATTAGTATCGGATGAACACAACTTTTACTTGTTCGAACAAACTCCTGTAAAAAAGTGCGGAAGAACACGTAAACTTGCAAAACTATGCCAAAATCGTGTGTGATGAATTATTCGTCATATTTTTGGCATGTCAACTGTACGAAAATTCAACACATTCAACACCACAAAAAATTACAATCCTATTGTATTCCTTCTTCCCTGAATAGGTTGTAGCATGTACATTATATTGGTCACCGACCGACCCAAAGCATACAGGGCCGGGTGACCAACGAACCGGAAGAAGAGCGCTGTCCAGCCCAAGCCAGATCGGATCTGTGTGTCTTGTCCGTGCCGAGATGGAAACAAAACAGATACAATGGAACGCAATTACAATACAGATAACGACGACACGGCGTGGCATTAGTTTCCAGATCGGGAAGTAGAGAGAACTCCAACAGGGCGGTAATGGAAATGGATGGTGAGCTGGATTGGAGTGGATGGAGGTGATGTGGAAAGTTACGAGTTGTGGTCATCCTTACGTAATGCTGCGTATTTACGGCGTGCAACCCAGTAAGTGTTTCATTACTGTGTCCATGATCCGAGCTCTGACTTTGGTTTGGGAACATTGATGCAGAAAATAAACGCAAAATTGGTGACACCTCCTCCTAAAAAGTGCCTTTGTATTCGTAGTAAACATATGTATGTAGTAGTAGCTCGCTTTCTTTTACATATGTAGGTATGAAATTTTGGTGGAAAACCATGCATTTGAGGTACATTTTTGAAAAGGGTGAAAATATGGCTGGACTCGCACGTTACATTACACAGCCCGTCTGTTTTCCATCGCTGTCTCATTACGCTCCGAATGGAATTTAATCTCGTCTGCATTCAGAAAGTAGGAATTGTATTCCTCTGTTTCATGACTTCTGGTGGGGTAGTACTCTTGATGAAATGGAACTAATGGAATTGAAAATTGAAACAAGGCAGAACATTCCATCCCCGGCCATCTCTATGCTAACAACAGCCTCTCATACTTCTCCAACCAAAGCCCTACTTTAGAAGCGGCGTTAAGTATTATTACATGCAGACCTTGGTCATAAATACGCATTATGTAGGATGGGGCAAACAAGGTCATCAGGACATTCTTGCATTTTCACTCTGTTGAAATTTTATATTCTGCGAGAATGCAATAAATTCATTACATTCATTAAATTCATTCCAGAAATATAGAACTTCTGGTTCGAAGCGGGGAAATGTAGAGAATCACGAGTAAATTGCGCACTGAAATATGTTGCGAATAATGGTTCTGCTTATAAAGTATTGCAATTTATTATTGCAAAATGCTAGAAATAGGTAAGTTTGTTTGAAATGTGGTGTATACACAAAAATGCTGATTTTATATTTCTTTTTCCTTTTTTTTACTGGAAACCCTCACATGTTATAAGTATTTCCTGCTTGATGAAATGATGAAAGGGTAATTTATCCTCTTCTCATTTGTCCATTTAAACACAAACTAATCATGAAAATGGAGTATGGTCATAAAAGATAATGAGATGTGTGTAGTAGCCATGTAATAAGTTTGGAGGTGAAGGCTGAACTCCATAATATGGCAAACTGCACATTTCTCTTCGATTTTAGAAATACAAAATATTTTCATGTATAACATCGGTGATTCGAAATAAAATATCGCGTATGAATTAAATGCACAGTATTTGTTATCGTAAAATCAAACCAGTCCTTAAAAGTATTGATTTTGTTCTTCTTTAGCTCAAAAGTCATCAACATGTAAATTCTAACCAGCCGACCACACACTACTGCCTCCTCGAAACCTGGCGACTTTGTTGTAAATATGCCGATTTTGATCCTGACATACAAGTTAAAAGGCCAGTGGTCGTGCTCAATTGCTTCTTCTATCTGCCCGATATCTGTCATTCACCTTGAAAGATTTGATAAAGTGAAAGAACCTAAAACGAAGAAACCAAATGATACGAAAAAAGCAGAAGGACTGATTAGAATATTAAACAGCTATCTGTCTTCTTGTTGAAGAAAAGTCCGCATGTTCAAAGATTATAAAATGCTTCACGTGACCTTAAGTTCTTTTCGTATAACAAAGCTTAATATGTCGATATTTTATGCATGAAAACAAAAGTGGTTTTAATTGTACCTGCTGAAAGGTTAATTCACAAAAGTGACATTAAGCTCACTCTTTACATTTGTCTCACTTTGCGTGGGCGAACACAAACTGGATCCTCGGAAGCGGTGAGAGCAATCTGAAATTTAGAAATTGATAAAATCATTAAACATGCTACTAAGACTTTTGTACATATGTAATGTACCCAGTATATTTAAGTAATAAGATATTAAACATTTTTTTCAAAATCATGACCGTTGGGCTATTCGCTCCCTTTCTGCGATGATAAGCATTAAGCCTCATTCAATTTACCATGAAAACTGCACAAGCTTAAAAGTTTTTGAATCCTAATGGATTTTTTTTCTACCAAACACATCCACGCCCTTCTAGAATACGTATCATATTACGTTTAAAATGTGATATTCAAAAAATACAAAGGATGCATCGGTGATCGCATAAAGGGAGAGGCTTTTCAATTTTGAGACTCTTCTGGACCGTAAAATAAACTTAAAAGTGCAAACAAGGGGTAAATATATTTCGTTATTATGCCTTGAGATTTTCCGTGACATATGTACACTTTTTCACACACTTTTTCACACACCCAGACAAGGAAAATTCGATTGTTTTCTTTCCGAGTGACGAGGAAAAGAGTGGTGACGGAGAAATAGTGTAAAACGGAAGTTGTGTTAGATGCACAACAAAGTGTCGCACTAAGCCCTCCAGCGTCACTTTACTTTTTCATTCACTCCTTAATGCAATTCCTTCCCGGCATCTTGTTCTCTTGGTTCGCTTGGGAGTGGGAGGCAACGGAGGAGGAAGAACGAAAAAGGAGAAAGTGCATTAAAGTGGGATCCCCCCACACGAGCTCTCTTTCTCCCGAGTGGGGATGATTCCGAGCTTTCGTAAGTAGGGTGCAGGAAATGATAAGGCGACTTGGAGGGAAATAAGTAACATCTGAAAAGGGATTTATTTATCTTATCTTCTTTAGGGGTGGATAAGTGCGTGTGGTGGGTGAGCAGTCGTAAGAGGGATGAAACATATGCAGTGGACGATATCATAACTACTTTCTTCGTAAACGTGATTCTCTCATTCTGCATACAAAGGAGGATGAAAACTTGATGTTTGATGAATAAGAGGGATTACATCCCATTATTGAGTAAGCATTGAAAGAGAGGATAAGCTAAAGTGGTGGTGGTGGTGATTTCGAGTCTCGATATTTAGCAATTCAACAGAGAATTCAGAATAACATTATCATGTCTTCTTATGCATTATTACCTATTTTCTCATTATTACCTAAGCAGTTCACGTTGCACCATTCTTCCATTTTGCATAAATGCCACAGACATTAATAATTGAACGCAGGAGCAAATTGCGGAGAGTGCATGAGTGAATTTCGCATTGCTGTCCACACATTCTCCTGAAGGGAGAGTAATTTTCCGTCGCTGCAGGGTGCCCCCTCGTTGCCCTCAAGAGGGGTGGAGACCAAATTGAGAAGATGTTGGGGAGTTACGTACTCCTTAATCCTTACAAATTGCTTAGAAAGGTTTTCTTGGTATAATTATTTCGTAACGTTGTGATGGGATAGGAATCTTACGACCTGTCGTGTGCACTCATCAATTTAGAATTAATTAAGTCTGCGAGATAACTAATAAAACGTAGATCTGTACTTTACATAATGTAACTAAATTTAGTACTTAATATTGAAGGACTAAATAAAAATATACATTTTTAGCGATTTTAAAATCTCTGCAAAAATTATCCCAAGAAATGTTGCTAAATCCTTTCAACTTTGTGTGTTAAAAATGGTTACGCAAAGACCAAAAGACACTGCCAACGTGACGCACACCAGAAAAGAGATGCAGCGAAAAGACTCTGATTTTCTGAGGACGATTCGCGATTCTCGCATTTGAGCTGCGTAGATACAAGAGGAAAGTTGAGCTGGGAAATAAAAAGAAAAGACAAAGAGAAAACACAAGTAGTTTGAGATCTTTTGTATTTCTCGGCATTTTTTGGGAAGAATAAATTACGTCGGCACCTTCCATTGTTTATATATCTTCACTTTTCATGCCACATCCCATTCCCCTGTTTGACTTCGACTCCTTTATACCTTCGCTGCTACCCTTTTGAGCTGCCGACGTCTTCAGCCGTGCATCAGAGAGATATTCTGTTATATACACTTCACTGTTCAATACCCCATAAGAAGGAATGAAAAAGGTTCATCTGCCGAGGAGAGCAAACAACAACCTTCTTTTCATGCATAAAAAACAAGAGCTTCCTTCCAGTAAAATGAGTTTCATACAGTACCAAGAGGAGCACAATAACCTTATCTGTTCTCAACTCCTGAAAAAGTTTCCGCTGAGAAGTGAAATGTGTTTGCAACCGTTATTTGATAAGGTTAATGTCTCTTTATTTCGTGACATGTTGTATCAGTGTCAGAACCATGGCATGATAACATAGTCAACTCTCAACATCAAGAAAGTATGACAAAGAGAAAGAAAAATAAAGATCATGCTGAACTTGCTGCAAAAAAACCTGTGTCACTTTGTACTGGCCCTTTTACCATTAATATCATTGTGTAGAAAACTTGAAAAAAGATACTGTGGTAAAAGCTCTGGTCTCAAAATGTGTGTAAATGAAGATAAGGTTTCAACAGGAGGACCACATATAAAAATACACCTACTTTTATATATATTTTCAAGTAAAATGTATCTTAATTGTAATTTTAAAATAAAATGAAAAAAAACTGTGCCACTTGATCTCGTGATCTTTGTATGCGCAATATATAAATAAGTTCGACTCTCATAGAACTATGCCAGATAAAATAAGAGACGACGTAACACGAAGAAAAGATATGATTCAGAATTCCCCTGCAGGGTCTGCTTAGTTTCCTTCCGATTATTTTAAAAGATTTTTTTACCCTGAAAATATATACTTTTTGCCTACATTGCAATTTTAACATTCGAGTAGAACTAACCATCCGGTTCTCCAAAAAGAAACGCAAGCTGTCATATCACATTTTCTTGTCGTCCTCGTATCTCTACCGACGACTGTGATACCGCGGAGAAAAGAGTCATGGAGAATAAGCGGATGGAAGAGGGAAAGTAATAAAAATATTGGTTTTGTATTTGAATAATACAGTTCTTATTTCTTTACTTTAAATTCAACAGACTCTGTGGTCCGTGGGGGAAAGGACGTATCCGGAAAGTGTCTTCAAGAACGAGGAATGACGTCATAGTTGCAACTCTGTCCTCATCCTGTGCAAACACTTGCAGTTAAAGATGTTTATTCAGCGTTTGATCGGATGTGAAACTAAACCAATGTTTGTTTATAGTCATCATGATACCGTCGCATCACTGATTTTTTTAATCTAAATACTATTACACGCAAATATGTGTATACCTTTCTGTTGAGAGGTAGCAATTATACCAGGTGGAAAAGTAATTTGTTGTAAAAAAGAACAAAAAAGTACCAAATTCACCACAATATGTGTACATACAGCTAAAATAGGGCCAAACTAAATGCACAAAAGTATCCTTTTATTCTGTGAGGAAGGAAATACAGGTAAATCCATCCCGAAGCCTTTCAGATCAATTCTTACCCAAGGAAACTTAAGAAATGTGCGTAGAATGGAGTTGCACTCACACATCGTTGGCTACTTGAGAGAAAATAATCTGCCCACAGATTGAGCTTGTAAGGTTGAAGCACGAAGCCTTTCTGAAGAGGATAGAGCGTGACGAAGAATCTTTTCCCTCTGCATAGCAATCTTGGTGGTGATCTTGTATGCATGAGTATGCGAATTGAGAATAATCTGACATGGTAGTGCTATTGAATTGCAGAAAGTAGTGGGAGAAAAATGTGAAGTGGTGGAAATCCTGGGCGAATTTTTTCAAGGGGAAAGACAAGTGTCTCTCCTTTTTGATGGTGCCTATTATTCTTTCTCCATATTCCAAGTTGCCAAATCAAAGTCAAAAGCAAGACGGCTTATGTGTGCACCTATCGGTATTCTATTTACTTTCCTCTGTGCAATAATAAGCCCCAACAGTGGATGGGAAAATTATTACGAAAATAAAATGTTCAATATATATATGTTGCACATTAATTGAAGCACGTGGTATGTGATTCGGTATTTGAGTAGTTCGCCATCAAAAAAAGTAGAGAAAACTGGTTGGAAATGTTTGTTTGATGTGGTATTACATACGTACGTAAATACACAGCACAGCACTACCACATGTAAATTTGATTTCATTCCAACATATCCAACCCTACAATTCTCCAAGGTAAAAGCTTTCAACTCTGGAATGAACATTATTATGTTATCGATTTGAACTGCCGGAACATTTTAGTACGTGCACAGCCAAGGCACAAGCAGTAAAATAGGAATTGATCAACAAACTAAGTGAAAGTATAAACACATTAAAAATTAGGTTCCTTAAATACTGATACTTTGAAAATATTTATTAAGACGGATCATGAGGATAAAATGCGCTTATGTAAATAGCAGAATGATTAAAGTACTGCTGGTAATTATGTAATGAATCGCACTCGTTTCTATAAACTTCCCCAGCACACAAACTTCGGAAGTGGAAATTAAGTAATAAACTGTAACAAGCCGCAACAGAACTGGGTTAATTCCATTTCACGATTGTAGATAAAAGCCAATTTCATGCCGCGGTTGTAATTTTACTACGTTTGGAAATAGAAATTTGCATAAAAGCTTATTGCGCATTTTGCTTGCATATAAAAAACCTAAGCTATGTATTTCTACTTTGAATTTAGTATGAGTGCTTTCAACACTACCGTGATTCCAAAGTTGCATCGCCTTATTCTTCCAATAAATTTTGATGTCCTGCAGGAAGATTGTGCACAAGCGAAATGTTTGTAACTCGTTCCTCATTTTGGATTCGTCATCTTTACAAAAGAAAATCAAGTGCTGAAGCCAACAAAGTTGGGCCTCTATTGCAAACACGAGATACGGACAGAAGGAAATTTGAGCCAAAATTTAGCACAGGTCGCTTGTTGACTCAAGTGACTCATAAATATTCAACTGTTCAATCGAAATGCTCTTCTTGGCACTTCTTGCCAAGTTGAGATGACCTGACCTGTCTTGTCGAACTAGTTCCCAAGGACGCGTCACTCAATATTCTTACCTCTTCCAGCGACTCGGTTCCAATCTCTGTACATGAGTTTGAATACATGACTGAATATACGAACGTATGTATGCAGTGCTGGGACAAGACAAAGATAGATCGGCAGAGAGGAGAGAGAGAGAGTGCGGCATTTGTATCACTTATCGGAGCCATCAATGTCCCTTGGTATTATTGATACCAATAGTTTGCAAAGAGATTGTTGCCCGAGGAAATACAAGATATTGGAACTCTGCTCGATTCATAAGATTTTACACGCATAGTAGACACAGAGAAAACAGAGCGGCCGACATTATTTATTTCTCTTGTTTAAATCCCATATTGCAAATCTTCCTTTGTTGTTGAAGATGATTTACTGTGAATTGGAATTGGGTAGAACATCCAGCGGAACAAGAACAAGGATGAGCAACAAACATTCCTTCCTTCTTTGTTGCCCGTGGATGGAAGAAGCTATCTATTTTCCAAGATCGCATTGTGCAAAATTGTGCTTCGCCATTATACGACATGATGATGATGATGATGATGATACCCAGAAACCAAACCAACCTACGAGCTACATATGCAGAGACGGTGGTAAATTGGATGTTATTATGAGTGGAAAGTGGGACAGTGAGTATTCTGTAACTTGTGCCTTTATTCGTTCCGTGCATACATGTTCAGAAATATGTATACTCCTGAGACTTTAGCCTTTTCCCAACCTGCCGAGTCTGAGAAGAACTTACAATCAGATTTTGCTAGCCAAAGTTGTGGATGGACTTCGATCCCGCTTACCTACGCCATTATATGAGAGTAACAAGCCAAATCTATGGTCGCAATCCGATAGAAAATTCATGCGTTCCTTTTTATGACAAACTTTGCAAATGCGTTCAATTGTGCCGTACTCTTTCTTTCTTGGTATAAGGCGCTAGGTATGCAGACAAGTTTTGCATAAAGGAGCAAATTTGTATTCATGAATCAAAAATGACAGTTAAGGATTCCACCTTGATTCATGAATGTGTGTAAGCAGTCGTAATAACAATGAGACCAAGTAAGTAGTTCAAATTGGAAGGAGGATGCCTTCAAACAGCCATTCTAGCGAACATTAATGCAAATACAGAATATGTATGAACAAATTGACGTTCCTCCCAAATGTGTCACACAAGAAATGAATACGATCATTTATCGCTCAACAAGCTCATTGGCTCAATGAAATATTTTTATAGCATAGAAAACAGAACTATGTAAATGCCCACATGCTGTAATGCTAAAATAACCTTTAAGCCAATTTATTCTATAGCTCACAGATTTTAAATACTTATTTACCCACGAAATACAACTGAATTTATATCGGCGAATACGAATTAACATTAAGTTTGCATTATGCCAATTCCGGTTCTGTTAAATTGAGAAATAAATTTTCGTGTATTGTAGGGTTGTTGGCAAATGTTAATAAACCTTGTTGGGTGCATGCAATTGGTACTACATATTCTCACAAGAATTGCAAAAATCAAGTTTGGCTCAGTGGTGACAGCAGAATTTACAAATTAAATTCTTTCATTAATACCCAAGTCACACATGCATGCTTAAATCCAAACAATTTTAGACCCAAGATCCGATAAGATAGTTAACCGAGTTGTACGTAGCACATATTGGCTGTTATTATACACACACATAAGTATTACGTACCTATATGTATGTATGTACGCATAATTTGAGCTACATATTTGAGCTGACTATATTGCACAAGATTTTCGTGCTTTCTGGTAATATACATTTCCATTTGCAAATTGTCCTTTACAATCGGTGGTTAAATGCATAAACACCAAAATATTAATGAGGTAGCATGGCAAGTTAATTATGGTCTTACAACCAGTTTGGGGATGGTCGTTGTTGTACTTAATGGTTCTTCGGATTGATAACATCTGACCAAATTTAAGGGTGCAAAAATAAAAGTGTTGCAAATGTCACAAATACTTTATGCACAAACGGGTAGCTTTCTTTAGGTTTGTGATATAAATCATTTCATGTACATATGTAGGTATGTGTATCTGCATACGTAGTTCTTGTAAAATGCAAAAAATTATTTGACTACGGACAAACTCAATATGTAAAAATACATGTTCGTGTATTCATCTGAAGTAGAATTGAAAAGTTTTGTCGTCGAATTGGAAATGAAGAAAACAGGCTACGACATGAGATGAGAACATCAAACGCAAAGTAATTGAAAGGCTTCAAATTCAGAAGAAATTCGCCATTGCCTATAATATATTATATTGAAGAGGATGAGAACGTTTCGCTCTTATTATTAACTCTTCTGTCGACCTTCGTCAAATCTTATGCTTGTTACATGCATACGAATATAGCTACTAGTTTATATAGTCACATGCAGTGAAACCACATAATTATCTATGTAGCACTATCAGTCACTCAGTCGCTGCCTTGTTTACCACCTTTGATGGTCCACCTGCTGAGGGAGCCCTAATAACGAACCAACAAATCGATACATTGCCCGTATGAAGCATGTTCTTGTTCCAGAAATCTCTTCCAACTTTCCCCATCCAAGGAAATATTTTATTCATTATCGGATGGATATCCCCATCTTATCGCATCATGTGGATGTGATGTCATTATTCCTCCAAGTCGAGGAGTATCAACCAACAAACTTCAATTTAGCGTATCCTATCGCACCAAGTCTCCTATCACCGAAGATTTTGCGATTCTCATGGGAATTTTGTCTGACGCTCTCTATTATGGATGTTGTGTTGTAGCTCGTTATGTTTTTGGCGCAGTATCAAACAATCATGAACTAAGTGTGTGTATGGGGAAACACAACTTTTCTGGTTCATACTCCGACAGGAACAATAATAACAAAAGTTGCATGGAGAGAGAGACAACGGAGGGAGGAAGGAAATGAGGAGAGAGAGAGAGGACAAAAGAATCGCCATCCATCATCATTAGTAACCTGTCAGTTCTTTATACCACTTCTTCTTCTCACCTATCTCATCATCCTACTTCTTTCACTCATGACCAGGGCTTATTACATCATCCCCACACCCTCATATTCTCCTCATATATGTTCCAACTACTACCAACGACGACTACATACCTTATTCCAATTTGTTGATAGTCGTGGCGGCGGCGGCAGTGGTGGCATTTTGCAGCGTTATGTACAGCACCGTAATTTGACAGGATTACGATGCAGTAATGCAACAACATATTGTTTGGTTAGTAGGATTAAGCACCAACCAACGCAATTTATTTTCCTGGCGAAAGTGGGTCTTTCTCATCCCATGGAGAAGTAACAAGTTTGTACAATATTCGCAAGAAATATTGATGCAAAACTTTCATGTTGTGAGACAGCACGATACATATTTCGAATGGGAGTGTGAACAAATCCATACACACGTGCACATTGTAAAACCGTAGTCCATGCGAATATGCTTTTCTCACTTTCTCTGTCTACACTGTTGTGAAGTAAAAGTGAAAGTTGTTTGAGGAATCGTATAGCATTCCACTTCACGCCCCTTCAATGTTGCATAACCACATTGGTTCGTGCATTATTTTGACAGGAAATTGCTGTGGAAATGCCTGGGTTGCCTTAAATGACTGGAACATCTCAATTCAACAATCGAGGCAAGTCGTGGTGGCGTGTATGAAAAATCGTGAAAAGTTGCGTAATTGAATTTAATCGATAGGAATAAGAATCGATTAGAATTTTGCAGATTCTAATATAGTGCCACGAACGTATAGCTTTTCCTTCAAAAGTGAGCGGACACAGTTTTTTTTGTTTGGACGCACATTTCCTTGATTGGATTAGGAAGTGGGAGAGAAAACAAAAAGCGGACTTTCTTTCCCGACACATTGTGTAATAGGCTCCACTCCACCACCGCCGACATGCAAGTTGAAGAAACTTGAAGCAGCAGTGAACTTGTAAAGAAAGTAAAGAAACAAGATCCGCCAAAGTAAAGGCCAACTGTGAAAATTGAGCATGGTTGAGGAATAAGAATGGGCATATGGAGTATAGCAGGCAGACTTACAACCAAACCAAT